AGAAGGTAAATTTTGCAAAACGCGCGCGAGAGCGCCCGCGGTGGTAGATTATCCTAATCTCATTATTTTTCTTGCGATAAATGATGCCATCAACCAAGTAGAATGCCAAGTTGAAGAAGAAGGGGTAGCGCACCTCGCCGCGAGCGATGCAGGCAAAATGTCGGCGGGATGCGATGGCACACGTATCTGCATGCATGCATATACGCTCGTGCACTTACACACACATATGCATATTGATATATATATATATATATATATGTGTGTGTGTGTGTGTGGGGGCGAGAGAGAGGGTGGAGGGAGGAAGGGAGGGAAGAGAGAAAGAGAATTTATAATATATACTATAATAATTATGTTACACATGCACAGACTTATAAAAATAGCAAATGTTACGTTTTACTTCTGTTTAAATAAATCATACTTAGTCAATCGAAATTATTTTTATCTAGAAAATAGTTTGAACACTATATAGACTTTAACATCGAAGTATAAGAGAGAGGCATGTGTATACAAATATTCATACTTTTTAAGAAGTATTAATTATCTATAAATAAAAATATTAATAAATATTCATTAATTCCTAATATATAACATATAATCAACTATGTCTCATCAAAAGACGAAACAACCTTAACATTGGTTTTCTGTGATTTAAACGATTCGATACCATCCTTTGTTACAGAAGTACCAGTTACATCCAAGTACTCTAATCTTGATGCATTTAAAGCCAAATGGACAAGACTTGAATTTGTTACACGTGGGTAATTTCTAAAAAGAAAAAAATAAATAAAAAACAAATATCTATAGAGTTGTTCTTTTCTCTGTTCGTTCTCTTCTTTCTTATGAAGAATAATTCTTAAAAGATTCTAAATTTTTTGTAGTTAATTGGAACTCACCTAACAACTAATATTTTAAGATTTGGATTGTTAGATATTCGTCTATTTTCTTGTAAAATTATCATCCCTTGCGGAGAGTTGTTTATCACTTTTCTATCACAAGAATCGCTTCCAAGAGCACAAATTGCTCTATCTGATATTAAACACCGTTGAAATCCATTATTCTCAAAAGTAGGTGCATTCTCCATGAAAAACTGTATAACCAGAATAATATATTTTTACAACGTTTTTGCATGCATTTTAAATTCACGAAAAAGAATATCAATTTTTATAATTATTACTTATAAACTTATAATATAATAATTGGCTTTCTGCAAAAATACCTGTGCTACATTATTATCTTCAAATATCGGTAATTGTAAAGCTTGCGGTTGATCTCGCACCTGTTGCATAATCTCAAAAGACTCTTCATTTCTTAATGTGGAAGGACATTCCAAATAAAGATGTGTCAAAGTTTTAGTGCTACTAAAACAACCGACCTCGCTATCCCCGAGTGCCGTATCCCGTAAATCTAAAATCTAACATAATACATAAAAGTATTCTATATTTTTCTGACAAGGCTAGAGATAAAAGAATGGTAATTAAAATAGTATCAATAATGCACAAGTAGAGAAATATATCATACCTCCAATGTTTTAAATCCAAATCTAGTTGCTAGACTAGCATACGCAACACATTCACCCAGACGATGACATGAATTCAATCTAAGTTCTTTAAGTTTGGGTATTTTACTGATAACTAGTAAGGAATGTGGCGTAAACCATTGACAATGGCTCAAAATTAAACACTAAAAATTCAATGTATAATATAGTAATTATTATAAGCATGCAAAGGGATTGTAATAATGTAGGACAGCGGTTAACAAAAAACACATATAATAATAATAATAATAAATGTGTATCTATCAATTATTTTCCAAAGTTATATTTCATAGACATCATAAAAATCAACTAAAATTACAGAGACAAAAAATAGCTTATTTATTATATACATTAAATAACATACTTTATAGTTATCAATTTTGGTATAAATTATGTAATTTTATAATATACAGAACTTAATTCATATAATAATAATTCATATAATATACAGAATATAGCAGATATATAAATATAAAAAAATTAATAAACGAGAAAAGATAAAAGACAATATATATACTAAAAAAAAAAAAAATGGTTTTATTATTTCAAGATTTATATCTATATTATAAAACATCAACTTACTGTCAAATTAGGCATGTATAAATCCATTTTAAAAAAATAAGATTTATTAGATCTTTGTAGATAATCCATTTGGCAACCTTCTAATGAAAGCTTTTCAATGGTACATGGAAAATCTGTTATTTGAATCTGTAAAAGTTGTATTGAAATAGATTTAATAAGTTTTCTTTTACAACAAAGAAAAAAAAGGGACAAGGAGAAAGAAAGAGAAAGGAAGCAGGAAGGGAGAAAAGAAAGAAGAGAAAGGATATATTTAGATTAAATGCTCTGTGTGTGTGTGTGTGTGTGTGTGTGTGTGAATGTAGTAAACATATTTTGAAAATATAGATAAATCATTACAAAACCTTTTATATTAAAATATACCTTGTCTCCATTGATATAATATTCTTCAATAATCAATTCTTTAAGCTGATTGCATAGTGTCTTCACATTCTCAAAGAATCTTTGTGTAAGATGTTCTGAACATTCGCCAGAGACAAAATTGCCACGTATTGCCAAACTCATTGTTATTGGTTGCAGGAATTTCATGTACCTGTCTAAATCATTTAAAAGCATCGGCTTTGTTCGAAAATCTACTCTTCTCCATAGAGTTCTATCTTGCGTTAATTGTGCAAGTCTGTGGCAACATCTATGTAATAGAAGAAAAATTAGTTGTAGTATAAAAATATTATAAAAAGTATAATATGCAGATAAAAATATATAACTCACAAACTGACTGCCATGAGATCTTGCGGATATAAATATTTCAATATATTGAGTAAAACATCATCTGAAAATTCAAGTATGTTTGGCGAAGATGTTACTCTATTTAAATTTGTAGTTTTTTCAAATTTTATACGTTTTGTATCTCTGCTACTAGATGGTTCAGGAGAAAGAGATTTACTGCGCTTTATCTTCATCTTTCTTTTGCACCTATGTATGAGAAACAAAAAAAAAAAAGAAAAAAAGAGATAAATTGTCACATAAAAAAAAAGAATTCGAAAGTTTAAACGCATCTAAATTATGTTTAAAAAAAAGAACTAAAAATAAAATTTTTTCTAGAACTGATATATTTTATAAATATTAATTCTTTTTTTCTTATGAAGAAGCCTTACTATTTACACATGACAAATAATACTTGCATAAATTGAAGGGCTTTTGTTATAGAAAAATTGCAAATTTGTGTGCATTTATAATATAAAGATAAGTTAAGTCAATCAAAGACTACTTTCTACATATACAAAAAAAAATACCCCAAAAAATTTAGTTTACTCAACAGGCTAAATCTGATTTCTAAATGTTTTCTTATTTAAAATCCAGAGATAATGTGAAAATTTCTACCATCTGATTATATGTTTATTGCCCCATATAAGATGTATAATAAATATCGTAAATAAAATTCGAAAATGTATCTCTGTTACTTCTAAATTGTAATATCAATATGAAAAACTTTCGTAGATTTATTATTATAAATAAATATTAAACAACAAAATATGTGTCAGATTGTTATTTGCTGGTTATATATTTTTTCAGTAGATGTAGAACTTTGTTATGTAAATGCAATTGTAAGCGAAAACAATTTTATTTAAATATATATATTTAAAATAAGAATTTTATCCACAATATTTACAACACAACACACTATAAAGTAAAAGAAAATTATAATATTCAACGCAAAAATATAACCACAAAGTATTAACCCGTACAAGCAGATTTTCACGCGTACTGTATATAAATTCTCACATTTACTCCGCGAACTTTTTAATAATAATGATAAAAATTGACGCTTACAACAAAGTATCACTTTCAAAATCAATTCTTATAATTCGTATAATACAATACGATTGACAAGAAAGAGCGCACACACAAAGGGAAGAGTGCTGTTGTGTGTATATATGTACACACGCTAATGGCTAGGGATGCGCGATGTTGATCGATTAATCGAAGTGTCCGATCTTTTTTGTCGATTAATCGATTATTAACTGCCGATGTTTTTGAGATCCGATGTATCGATATTCGGTTTTTTTTTGTGAATGTCGATGAGCATTTAGGGACAATTTCACCAAGTCCGGTTAGATGAACCGACCGTTAAAATTAGCAGGGTTCCAACCATAGACATAGTATATTTAGACCGAGCGTTTGCCTTTATTTAAGGAGTGGGGGTAAAAATGCACGTAGAAAAGGACATACTCTGTTTCGTGTCCTTTGCGTTCTCTCTCGCTCGCACGTAGCATAGCGTACTCTTTCGTCATTTTTATCAATTCTTTCCATATCGGTTTTTTCTTCAAAATCGCGCATCCCTACTAAAGCCCGTATCAGACTACGCATTGAAGATTGAGATTAAAAATTGAAGATTGAAATTTGACCAATCAGGATAAAGAAATTTTAGTTCCTTTTGTTCTGATTAGTCAAATTCCAATCTTTAATCTTCAATCTTCAATTTTCAATGCGTAGTCTGATACGGGCTTAATAGCGTCTTCGAAAGTAACAGGTTTAATCACTTTAAGAGCGATTAATGACGTCATTGCATCGTTTCTGCCAATAAAAGACTTGAATTCATAGTAAAATAATGGTTAATTGATCCGGGTTGGATTAACCCGTTCATTCGAAAACGCTATAAATTTCATGACACAGAATGCAAAATGTTGAGAGCATTGAATTGAGTAAAGAATAACAGGAGGGAGTATTTGGTGTTAAGGTACCATTTCTAAGGTTATATAAAGGAAGGTTAAGTCACGAGCCTTGGCAACCCATAAGTGCCGATCTACAATAGGTGGTTTAAGCCCTAAGCCTTAAGAAATTGACTAATCACAGTCGAGTATTCTCCTCATACTTGATTGTGATTGGTCAATTTTTTAAAGCTTAGGGCTTAAATCACCTATTGTAGACCGGCACTAATGCAATACAAAGAATGTGTGCGAAGAGATCCTTAAGCCCGTATCAGACTACGCATTGAAGATTGAGATTCAAGATTCAAGGTTGAAATTTAACCAATCAGAATAAAGAAATTTTAGTCTCTTTTGTTCTGATTAGTCAAATTCCAGTCTTTAATCTTCAATTTTCAATGCGTAGTTTGATACGGGCTTTAACGATCTCTGATTGGCTCTGTCGCCTAGAGTAAAATCGGAAGTGTGAGAGAGAAAGATATATATAAGTAAGAGAAAAAAATATATAGCTAACCTAACTGACCGTCTATAGCTAGCCATAATTGTTCGCCAAAGGCATAAATTATATTTATAATAATTCATAATGTATAATATAAAATAACGTAATAATAATGATAATAATGTAGTAATAATATAGCAATAATAATAATATAATCTATAATAATAATTATAACAATATATTTTTTAATAGTCAATTCATATTATTAGTTGATATTAACACAGAAAAACTGATGAAATATATTTGTTTGTAACCTTTTTAATACATGTTTTAATATTCATTACTCACGTTAACTTTAAACGAAAAAAATATATCGTATTTTTGTATTTATTCAACAATCAAAATAAACCGCCATCAAAAACGTCATATCCGGTTTCACCCCGTGACGGCACATTGTCCGATCTCTGTTTAAAGCCCGTATCAGACTACGCATTGAAAATTGAGAATTAAAGATTAAAAATTGGAATTTGACTAATCAGAACAAAAGGAACTAAAATTTCTTTGTCCTGATTGATCAAATTTTAATCTTCAATCTTCAATCTCAATCTTTAATGCGTAATCTGATACGGGCTTAAGGATCTCTATGTGTGCGCAGTCGCTATTGAAAAGTAGAGGAATCGATCAGGTAATTTCACGTGAAACTTTTCACTTTTCATTTTTTACTTTTCACTTCTCATTTTTTGTTCATAAAATAATATTTATATTATAAATATAAATTACAGATAACAGATTTCACGTGAGATTTTTCACGCATAGCAATTTTGTACATACCCAGTGAGCGTTATTGAGAGGATGAGCTCTTTAAGAGGACTTTTTAAAGACTTAATTAAATTTTCTTAGAAATGATATCAGGATCTCGCGGCTTTTTGCAATGCATCATGGGTTGCGCAAGTAAATACATACATGATGACTGCGGTCGGGAAGACGCTAGAGATGCTTTGAAGCATTGCTTTAACCTTTAACCAATCAGAATAAAGAAATTTTTATTCTTTTGGTCCTGATTGGTCAATCAAACGCTTTGAAGCATTTGTAGCAATTTCCCGACCACAGCCAAAATATAATGACTTAGGGCCATCGCACAAGCTTTTCCGTAATGCATTACGTTATGTTAAGTACTGATTCTAAACTTAAACTCGTACGTAATCTTAAACTTCAGTCAACGCACAGAGAAAATCGTAACGTAACAAAAGCATACTACGTTACGATTTTGTTTGTGCGTTGACTAAAGTTTAAGATTACGAACGAGTTTAGGTTTAGAATAAGTACTTAACGTAACGTAATGCATTACGGAAAAGCTTGTGCGGTGGCC